CTGTTGAATCACAGATCTGTACTTGTAAAACAAATAATTGCTAATAATGCAATATATGTTAAGAAAAAAAAAGAAGAAGATAGCAGGAGGGGAAGAATGAAGGGGAGTAAGTCGGAGGGGGAGACGAACCATGAGAGACGATGGACTCTGAAAAACAAACTGAGGGTTCTAGAGGGGAGGGGGTTAGGGGGATGGGTTAGCCTGGTGATGGGTATTAAAGAGGGCACATTCTGCATGGAGCACTGGGTGTTATGCACAAACAATGAATCATGGAACACTCCATCAAAAACTAATGATGTAATGTATGGTGATTAACATAATAATAAAAAAATTTAAAAAAAGTTTTACCATCATTTGGCTATTTATGATTAGAATCAAAGCAAGAATTTAGATAGTACAATGTTCAAAATTGATTCCAGAGAAAAAAAATGTTTGTGCTCAAAGGAAAGTAAAGAAAAATCAAATAGAAACTTTTAAGAAAGAGATTTAATGGTTTTCTCTTAGAGTCAAAGGAAAAGAAAAAAGAGTTACCCTTAACTCTGAAGATAAAATTATGCTTTTCATAGCTTTTTAAAAGCATTTTAAAGTGTTTATACTGCTAGATTCCACAGATAAAAAGAAGAAGCCTATATTTTAATATATAACACATATGTGCAATTCCTTGGAATATCTAAATAATATGTACAATATTTTTCTATTCAAATAAATCAACCTGTTCAGAAAAATACCAGGGAAACTCAACAGTTGCAAATTATTATTTTCCCCGTAATCTTGTTTTAAGTGTTGCTTGGATAATACTTTGTTTTATGAATATTTCAGTAATCAAATTATTGCTAATTATTCATATTAAAACATAAAAGCTAAGTAAAATATGCATTTACTTCTATAAACTAATGGTTTCTAAGTAATTAATTTGAAATTAAATTACTTACAGAAGGAATATATTCAATAATTAAAAAACCATTTTAAAAGTAATTATATTACTCTAGTTCTCTTGAACATAGCACTGACTTATTTCTATAATCTAAGATTTCTCGCTGTTTTATCTTTTGCCCTGTGCAATTTAAGACTGTCACTATCTATACATGAGCCAAACCAAAACGAATTTTCTGCACAACACTGCATAATGATTAAGGCATGGCAAGCAATACTATTGACCTTAGAAATAGTACAGGAGACTGGTGTAAAACATGTTACCTATAACTCTTCATCTTAGCTACTGTTAACCTAAACCTCTTTACCTAATCCCTCCCCCACTGAATCTGGAGAGCTTGGTATGAGTCTACCTCCAACATGCTACAGTTTTTAAGCTAAAAATCACAGTGACTCATGAAAACTGAGGATGGATCATGTACTAATGGATCACGTATTATTCCACTGACTGTAAAATGCCATTTATTTATCTTTAGGACCTTATTCTAAAATTGTTCCAATATTGTTTTGGCAACTTAATATTAAGCCACTTGCATTTCAAGTATAAAAACTTGTTAAGTGCACCTTATTTTCTTCCTGATAACACTAAAGAACCATGCTACATCTGTACTATCTCAAAATTCATGGTCAAATGCTAGATGTGGTGTTGAATCTCCTCCACATATGTTTTCCATCCTTCTCCACCATGCTCTATAACCAGGAGGCCAACCTGTACGCTTTGCCTTCTGGATTCTGCTTGGGTTTGACCAGTGAAAGGCACCAGTAGCCATTCAAAAGGTGGAAGGAAAGAGGTGGCCGTACTTATGCCCCTGGCTCCCTCTTTGCCAGATGCAGGCAGGTTAGCCATGGCTACACGTCTATCCACACCCACAGCTCCGGCCTGGTCCTCTGGCCTGGTCCTTCAGCTACAACTCTCTCAGGATTCTAGTAACCAGTCCTTTCCTTATCCAATGCAGATCTCCTATAGATCTCCCATGGTGGTTAGCCTGGTTGATTTGCCCTAATTCTGCCCACATCCTACAAATAACCCATTCATTAACTGAGCCTAATTACCAGAGTGGAGTGTACTGTTTGTTTCCTTCTAGAGCCTAAGTGATGCAAGTAATAAAGCCGAATACTATTTCAGAAAAAAGAAACACTTTCTTCTTGCTAAACTGAGTTACCCCTTTTTTATAAATTTTATTTTATTATGTTGTTAATCACCATACATTACATCATTTGTTTTTGATGTAGTGTTCCATGATTCATTGTTTGCGTATAACACCCAGTGCTCCATGCAGTACGTGCCTTCCTTAATACCCATCACCAGGCTAACGCATCCCCGCACCCCCTCCCCTCTAGAACCCTCAGTTTGTTTCTCAGAGTCCATTGTCTCTCATGGTTCGTCTCCCCCTCCGATTTCCTCCCCTTCAGTTTCCCCTTCCTGCTATCTTCTTCTTTTTTTTTTTTAACATATAATATATTATTTGTTTCAGAGGTACAGGTCTGTGATTCAACAGTCTTACACAATTCACAGCACTCACCATAGCACATACCCTCCCCAATGTCTATCACCCAGCCACCCCATCCCTCCCACGCCCCACCACTCCAGTAACCCTCTTAATCTCAGGAAACAAACTGAGAGTTACCCCTTTTTATATTATTTCAGTTTATTAGGGAAAAACACTTCTTTTGAGAAGAAACTACATTTCTCAAACATAAGGGACATAAATTCTATTTCTTTGACCCCCATCAAGCATCACAGTCCCCTGATTCCTAGAAATAGGGATAGTAATGTGCATTTATTAGGCAATCAGCAAATTGGTTTCAAACACTGAAATCTAACCTAGGTGATATCTATAAGTGATTATTTAATGATAACAACTAACTCAGTAATATCACCGGGGACAAAAATAACTCATTTAGAAAAAGAAATTGAATCCTTAATCAAATAGAAAAGAGCATAGAGTAGTTTCAAACTCAAAAGTTTTTTGTTTTTTTTTTTAACTCAAAAGCTTTTGAAATTTCTAGGACCACCTTTGGGAATTGTCAATGAAACTGAATAAGGCAGCTGTATAGAAAAGAGATTATACCTTTTAATCAAATACAAGTCTAGTAACTGCATATATTTACTAACAGACAGAAGAATTTAATCTTTACTTGTTTAAGGTATAAATTAATTTTACATGTGTTTTTAAGAAAATTTCTTAGGAAACATGTGGACCTAATTAAAACATAGACTTTCCGGCTCCTGAATTTTCATTATCATTACAAAATTAGTCCTGGCCATCTTATAATATTTCAGTAATTGCTATAGATAAATTGGAAGGGAAAGGAATATATAAATAAGGCAAATAATGTTATTTACAGCAGATTCAAATAAACACTGAACTGTTTTTCTTACTTACTTACTACCAACTAAGTTATAAAAACTTCTTTGCACAACTTAAAAATAGAAAATTTGTAGAAATTGAATCTTGCAGAAAATTATTTAACTTTTTATTATGTAAATCGAAGAAGCAGAACACCCACAGCTTTGACAAATGAAGATTAAGGACACTATTTGTGTTGGTTAGTTTACTCTCTTTCAGAAACCACCATCCTACAAGAAGTGAGAAGAGCCCCATTCCAAGTCAAAAGACAAATTCTTTTAAGTCCAGAACATGTTAATCTACCTGTCAGTAACCCTGTCTCACCGAGGAAACTAAGAAGGGGATCAGTACGCCTAGGTTATCAGGACATCCCAGACACTGAAGAGAAAGTCAAGGACATACACCACCTGAGACTATGGAGAAAGTTTGTAACTTGCCCTGTGTGTAATCGGTTATATTTAATTACTTTATGGCAAAATACTCCAGCCTCAGCACTTCAGAAACATGGTACTCTAGCTTGTATTGTGCCATGAAAATAAAAAATAACAATCAAAACCTTCAAAATTATAAACATTGTCCATTTTGGAGTCACTAGCAAAGTGCTTTTCCCTATAAAGTAGATTCCAACTCATACAAAAACAAACAAAACAAAAATACTCACAATAATTTCCTAAATTAAAATAAAGTTATAATAATTCTCAGAATTTTATAATATAAATTTGAAAGATAGATAATTATAATCAATACTGAAATTTGGGAATACTAATGTAGACAAACATTTCAAATACCAAGTTGGAAAGGCATTTATTCTAAGATAATTTTTTAAATTCTAATTATGATGCATTATTCTTTTTTGCCCTCAATCTACGATCCTGAAAAGCAAAGTTCTTGGTTAATTTCCTTTCAGAAGTTTGAGAGGCAACAAAATAGTTTTATGGTGACATATTCAAATAATATTTATTTTTTGAATAGTTTTTAAATTTAATTAAATTCATTTAAAATAAAATTTAAATACAGAAAAATATAAAGAAGAAAATAAAAATCATTTATAATAAACCAGCTAAAAACAGGTATTGTTTATTTGTTTTTTTTTTTTAAGATTTTATTTCTTTATTTTAGACAGAGATTGAGAGAGAGAACAAGCGTGGGAGAGGGGCAGAGAGAAAAGCAGGCAACCGGCTGAGCAGGGAGCCTGATGCAGGGCTCAATCCCAGGATCCTGAGATCATGACCTGAGCCAAAGGCAGATGCTTAACAGACTGAGCCATCCAGTCACCCCAAAGACAGGTACTGCTTAAGTTCTGGTACTGGTTATGCCATTTGATTCCTACCTTATTATTAAACACCATATCATCAGTATTTTTCTATGTGTTAAATGTATTATAATTTAGCTATAGAAATAATACCTTAATTTTAGCCATTCTGACTGGGATGAGGTGATATCTCAAATAACACCTTAATTTGAACACCTTTTTGATAAAATCTTTGCATTTTGAAAATCTCCTTAGGATTGCGTTATAGTACTGAAAGAAAGAAAATTAACATTTTTTTTCAGACCAACAGCTTTATTGAGGATTGCGAGCAGAGGTCCCCTTCCCTCTGCAGTCCTGGTGGCATGGTACTCACCATTGGACACTGATGTCCTGTCGGCAGAACACAGGGTCAGGGGTCAGAGGCCAGAGCATGTGTGGTGGGCACCAGGCCCACAAGATGACAAGCAGGTTGGGGCCTGGGTTTCACCTCCCCACACCCATGAGAGGCAGTGAGCTGAGGCCTCCTGTGGCTCTGGGTGCCAAATCTCACCCACAGGCACAGCCAAAGCCGCAGGTGATTTTTAACCAATGCAGAAGAAAATTAACATTTTTAAGATACTTGATATAAGTGGTAAATAATGTTTTCAAAGAAATGCTCCTTGTTATTTAAAAATATTATTGTTTCTGTGATTTTAGATTTCAAAATTCTTAGAAAAACAAATAAGGGGAGAGCCAAGATGGCAGTGTAGTAGGAAAACCCTAGGCTTGCCTCCTCCTCGAACACAGCTAGATGATTATCAAATCATTCTGAATACTCAAGAAATTGAACTGAGGGCTAATAGAACAAACTGCACAACTAGAGGGAAAGAAGAGACCACTTTGAGGAAAGTAGGAAGTGCAGAGGAGTGGTTTGGCAAAGAAACGGGATCATGAGTGTTGCAGAGGGGAGGAAGCCCTAGTCCCAGAGAAAGGGGAGACAGTGGAGTGTGCCAAGATAAGCACAGGAGAACACTTCCCCCAAAACCGTTGATCTGGGGAAACAAGAGGGGATGAATTTCATGAGTTTTTGCAACCAGCAGGGCTCAAAGACTGGAATTTCGGAGGTCCCAGGCTTGACTGTGATAGAGATCTGAGGATGCTGCCCTATTCCTTGTGCAGAGGCAGGCAAACAACCGCTGGGCAGACTGCATGATCTAAGGATTGTCCAAGAGGTATGGGGCGGGGGGAGACTGTTTGTACTTTTTGGAGCACATCTCTGAAAGGTGGCATTGCTTCCCTGGGGACAAAAGAACCAAGGGGGGGCCATTTCCCTCCCCTGCCCCTCAGCATAGGCGCAGAGACACCTGCTGAGGGCAGCTAACCAGGATGCTGGCAATTTAGCCATATTGTTCCAAATCCAAAGCCCCTGCACTCTGGTGCAAATGCCCTTCTGGGACAAATCTGCATCCATCTCAGTGCGGGGAGAACTTTTCCCAGAGGACCAGTACAGGTCCCCGCCACACTAGTCCCTAAAGCTTGGAATTTTAAAAGACAGCAGGCCTGGCTAGTGTAGAGCCCAAGGTGCAATGCACTGCTCTAGGCAGACAAGCAACCCAGAGACTGACAGTGTGAAATCAGTGACACAGGAGGGGAAATTATTCACTGCTCTGAAAGTGCTTCCATGAGAGCAGCAAGCACAGACTCCCTTTTCCATGGACAAAGGAGCTGGTTGGTGCCATTTCCCTGCCCTACCCCTCAGCATAAACTAACATCAGTAAACAGCACAGTGCCAACACTGGCTGCCTAACCTGCTTACACCAAGCCTCACCCCCCTGCATTCCTTTGGTACTGTTTTTCTAGGGCAAGTGTGCCTAATGATCACCACAGTAGGCCCTTCTCCGGGAAGACCAGTACAAATCCCTATATGTACCATGTCTACTGACTACAGAGTTTTGCAGAGCTTTAGTTCCAGTGGAAATAGCATCAGGTCTCTCTTAGCAAGCAGACCAGAGCACACCTAAGATAAACTCGCCACGCTCTGACCAAGGTCCAAACACTACCCACTACAGGCAAGGAAAAACTCTGCAGAGGACTGACCTGGGGGATAGAGCAGCCATAACATAGCAGCAGGGTATACACAGCACACACCAGAGACATTTCCTGAAGTGCCAGGCCCTGGACATTATATGAACTCTTCTTCATAAAGCCATTACTCTCAGGAGCAGGAAACATATTAGACTTTCCTAACACACAGAATAAGACAGAGACCCAGACAAAATGCAAGATGGAGGAATTCATTCCAAAAGAAAGAATAGGAAAAGGTCATGGCAAGGGATCTGATCAAAGTAGATATAAGTCATATGTCTGATCCAGAATTCAAAGCAATAATCATCAAGACACTAGCTGGGCTTGAAAAAAGCACAGAAGACATCAGGGAGGTTTTTACCACAGAGACAAAGGAGCTAAAAACCAATCAGGCTGAAATGAAAAATGCAATAACCAAGATTCAAAACCAACTGGATGTAATGACCACAAGGATGGAAGAAGAAAAGGAATGAAAAAGTGACATAGAAGATAGAATTATGGAAAATAATAAAGCTGAACAAGAAGTAAAGAAAAATCTTGGATCATGGAAGTAAACAGGGAACTCAGTGACTCCAAGAGTAATAACATTCACATTACAGGAGTCCCAGAAGAAGAAGACGAGAGAAAAGGGAGCAAAAAGTTTGTCTGAGGAAATTATAGCTGAAAACTTCCCTAAACTAGGGGAGGAAACAGATATCCAGATCCAGGAGGCACAGAGAACTCCCATCAAAGTCAGCAAAAGCAGGCCAACACGAAGACCTATTATAGTGAAATTTGCAAAATACAGAGATAAAGAAAAAAAATCCTACAAGCAGCAAGACAAGGGAAGTCCCTAAATGACTAAGGAAGATAAGTAAGGTTAACAGCGGTGCTATCCACTGAAACCTGGCAAGCCAGAAAGAAGTGGCATGATATATTCAACATGCTGAATGGGGAAAAAATATGCAGCTAAGAATACTCCATCCAGCAAGGCTATCATTCAGAATAGAAGGAAAAATAAAGAGTTTCTCAGACAAACAAAAACTAAAGGAGTTCATGACCACTAAACCAGCCCTGCAAGAAATATTAAAGTGGGAAAGAAAGACCAAAAGTGACAAAGACTAGAAGGGATCAGAGAAAATCTCTGGAAACAATAACAAAACAAGTAATAAAATGGCACAAATACATATCTATCAACAATCACTCTAAATGTAAGTGGCTTAAATGCTCTGGTCCAAAGACAGAGGGTATCAGAATGGATAGAAATATAAGACCTATCTATATATTGCCTACAAGAGACTCATTTTAGACCAGCAGATTGAAAGTGAGGGATTGGAGAAAAATATACCATGCCAGTGGACATCAAAAGAAAGCTCAAGTAGCCCCATAGTTATATCAAACAAACTAGATTTTAAACCAAAGACTAACAAGAGATGAAGGGTACTATATCATAATAAAGGGGTCTTTCCAATAGAAGATTTAACAATTGTAAATACTTATGCCCCCAACTTAGGAGCAGCCGAATATATAAAACAATTAATAACAAACATAAAGGAACTCATTGATAATAATACAATAATAGTAGGGGACTTTAATATCCCACTTATAGCAAGGGACAGATCATGTAAGCAGAAAATCAACAAGGAAACAAGGGCTTTGAATGACACTCTGGACCAGATGGATTTAACAGATATCTTCAGAACATTTCATCCTAAAGCAGCAGAATACACATTCTTTCGAGCACACATGGGACATTCTCCAGAATAGATCATGTACTAGGTCACGAATCAGACCTCAACAAGTACAGAAAGATTGAGATCATACCATGATATTTTCAGATCACAATGCTATGAAACTTGAAGTCAACCACAAGAAAATATCTGGAAAGACCACAAATATATAGAAGTTAAAGAACATCCTACTAAAGAATGAACAGGTCACCAGGAAATTATAGAGGAAATTAAAAAATACATAGAAACTAATGAAAATGAAAACATGATAGTCCAAAACCTTTGGGATGCAGCAAAAGTGGTCATAAGAGGGAAGTATATAGCAATACAGGCCTATGTCAAGAAGCAAGAAAAATCTCAAATAAGCAACTTAACCTTACACCTAAAGGAGCTAGAAAAAGAACAACAAATGAAGCCTAAAGGCAGCAGAAGAAGGAAAATAATAAAGATTAGAGCAGAAATAAATGATACAGAAACAAACAAAAAAAACCAGTAGAACAGATCAATGAAACAAGGAGCTGGTTCTTTGACACAATTAAAGTGATAAACCCCTAGCCAGACTTATCAAAAAGAAAAGAAAAAGGACCTAAATAAATAAAATAACAAATGAGAGAGCAGAAATAACAACCAATACCACAGAAATACAAGCATTATAAGAGAATATTATGAAAAATGATATGCCAACAAATAAGACAATTTGGAAGAAATGGATAAATTCCTAGGAACATATAAACTACCAAAACTGAAACAAGAAGAAATAGAAAACTTGGACAGACCCATAACCAGCAAAGAAATTGAATCAGTAATAAAAAAATCTCCCAACAAACAAAAGTCCAGGGCCATATGGCTTCACGGGGGAATTCTTCCAAACATTTAAAGAAGAGTTAATATCTATTCTTCTCAAACTATTCCAAAAAATAGAAATGGAAGCAAAACTTCCAAACTCATTCTATGAAGTCAGCATTACCCTGATTCCAAAACCAGACAAAGACTCCACTAAAAAAGAGAACTTAGAGACCAATAACCCTGATAAACATGGATGCAAAGATTCTCAACAAAATGCTAGAAAATTGAATCCAACAGTACATTAAAAGAATTATTCACCATGATCAAGTGGGATTTACGGGTGGTTCAATATTCGCAAATCAATCAATGTGATACATCACATTAATAAAGTAAAGAATCATATGGTCCCCTCAAAAGATGCAGAAAAAGCATTTAACAAAGCACAAAATCCTTTCTTGATAAAAACCCTCAACAAAGTAGGGAAACAGAGGACATACCTCAATGTAATAAAGGTCATATACAAAAGACCTACAGCTAACATCCTCAATGAGGAAAAACTGAGAGCTTTTCCTCTATGGTCAGGAACAAGACAGGGATGTCCACTCTCACCTCTGTTATTTAACTAGTACTGGAAATCCTAGCCTCAGCAATCAGACAACAAAAAGAAATAAAAGGCATCCAAATTGACAAGGAAGAAGTCAAACTTTCACTATTTGCAGACAACATGATATTCTATATAGAAAAATCCAAAAAGCTCCACCAAAAAATTTCTAGAACTGATACACAAATTCAGTAAAGTCACAAGATATATAAATAAATGTGCAAAAGTTTGCTTCATTTCCATACATCAATAATGAAGCAGCAGAAAGAGAATTAAAGGAATCAATCCCATTTACTAGTACACCCAAAACAATAAGATACCTAGGAGTAAATCTAACCAAAGAGGCAAAAGATCTGTATTCTGAAAATTATAAAACACTGATGAAAGAAATTGAAGAAGACACAAAGAAATGGAAAAACATCCCATCCTC